CCTGCAGTAAGCATCGTTAATTATGATTCCTATGTGTGACGCCCCGAAAGAATGAGTGTGAGAATCCGAAATTTTTTGTATCTTTTCGAGACATTATTTTGTTTCCTCGTTTATAATTTTGTATCTTTCTTCAATATTTTAATTTTCTATACATTTTTATAAGTAAATATAGTTTTCAAATCATTTTCTTGATACAAGTTAGTCAACGTTAATTTGGAAGAGTATTATGAACGTGGGACCCGCTAGTGCGGTAAATGCAATATATTTTTGATAACTTTTTGGAGTTTTGTATTAAGTGATATTATTTTATAAGGTGTTAAAAGATAATTAGATGTTACCTATATGGATTAGTATTGGAGAGACAAAAAGATAAGTTTTAAACCAAAAGGTGACAAGTGTCATCATCCAATTCACCCTTGGACTTTTGACCAAGATATTTATACCTTCTTAAAGCTCATTTTGATCAAAATATCTCTTCATTTTAGCTCCTCTTGGCCGACTCTCTCTGTACAAGAAAAGAAAAGAAAACTCTCAACTTGTTTCTTCAATTTCTTGCTTGGATCTAGCAAATCAAACCGATAAAATTTCAAATCACTCCATAAAATCCCTTTGCTAAGTGGTCTTGAGGTAGTTGGTGAAGTGGTTTGAGAAACAAAGGTGCTTAGTTGGCTCTTTTCTTGAGGTTCCAAGGTGAGTAGCTAATGGATTCCTTCTTTGGTCTTGCTAATGTCAAATTAATGGTTTGTGTTGGTTAAAGATGTGATTTTATGAAAGAATTTATGGATTAAAGTGAAGTTAGCTCAATTTCTGATTTTATTGGAGAATTTTCTGATTTTATATGATGATCATGGTTTAATCATGGTATGATGGCTGGTAATGGTGTAAAAGGAAGCTTGTATATGTTAGTTACGATTGTTTGCGGAAAATTTCGATTTTATGCGGAGATTCCAGGTTAGGGTTTTGAATCTGCCCTGTTCTGTCCGGTTTTATTTGAGCATGTTAGAGGCCGAATCAGGATTAGGTTAAAACATGAAAGTTGTAGAAAATGGTGTTAAATAGATACCTGCAAAATTTCAGCTCGATCCGAGCACTGTAGCATGTGAAATGACCGAAATACCCTTGACTGCCCATGAACCCTGTTCCGCGCCCAGATTTCTGTTTTCGTGGAGTTTTCCGTTTTTGACCATGAAAATGCATGATTTGGCTTTTGAGGTCTTCATAAGAAATGTAGGTCTGTGTCTTGGCTTCGAAATGCCATAAGATTCATTTCAATCTGATAAGGGTAGCTTCAGTTATGGATATTGTGCCGAAAGGTGTATTTGATGGTTTATAATGTGTATGTGGTTAATTTGAGATGAATTGGTGTTGCTTGTAGGATGGAAAAGTAAGGAAATTAAGGGGATATGCTGTCCGACCTTTGAAACCATTTGATTGCTTTGAATTTGAGTTGAAGGGCTTGGATTCGGACAAGGTAATAATATATTATGGATGATTCCTGAGCCGTGAGGTGAGTGACCCTAAACTGCTTCCAAAGTTACTTTTGAACGTCTTCTTGCATTATTTCCTCGTTTGCATATCATGTGTGCCGGCATGTGAGTCCATGACATGATTTGGCTTAAATGAGTTCTTGGGGAGTCTTGTGCTGAACACCCACGTCTCCCCCACTTTCGTGAGTTCGTGACATGATTTGGAGCACTAGTGTTGCTCCCCCATATTGTTTATCGTTAAGTAATCTTTTTGAGCGTTGGGTGTTTAAGTGCAATGATTTCACTGGCTCACGAGAGCAAAAATACGTACATTTGATCTCTGAATCATGACATCATCGAAATACATTATTGTGCAATATATTTGTTTACTGATTTTACTAGTTACTCACTGAGCTTCTAACTCACCCCAAAACTATTTTATTCCCCTCCACAGTACTCGTGGCGAAAGAAGGCTTGTAGTACTTGTTCACGTGACTGGATGGCATATATCTTGTACCGTTTGGATTTGGAATCATTTTATGTACAGTTGGAAATTGTTTCCGCTTTGCTTATGACATGTAATTATTGGAGAATTTGATGTATATTGGAGATTATATTGTGAGTGAGTGAGTCCCGGCGAGAGTTGGGCAGGCGGCCCGCCGAACCCTTTGGTTCGCCGTAGGGTGAGGTGGGGCCGTCACACTATGTCATTTGGAAAAGTTGATTGGCTGCAAGAACGCTATAAAATAGGGAAAAGAAAGTAGTTCTATAGAATTTTTTTGGTCAAAAGTCAACTGTATTGCTAATGATTGAATACCAAAAATTAAGAAATAGAATAGCTAGATTGATTCATAGAAGTTGAACCCTCTATTTCAACCTTCCTATGTTTAAATGGGTGCAAAGTTCATAGCTGAAGCACAAATAGTTAACTTGGGGAAAGATTACAAAATATGAAGCTAAGTCAAGTACCGATACCACGAGTACTTCATACGTTTCATTTTTATGGACCATTAGTGACTACACATGGATGTTATTTCATCAATTTGATTGTTTCTAAAAGATAAGGAAAGAAAATTTTGTGTTTGGATTGCATTTTTCATGATTTTTCACGGAAAAATTACTATAGCGATTTGATGTATGTTAGGAAAAAAGGTAATTGGAAAATGTGATCACGGAAAACGATGTAATTTTCCGACAGAAAACCGCAATCCAAACAAGTAAGAATAGAACGAAGAAACAGAAGAATGCAATTTAGCCATTACCATTTGTTTTTTATCAACATAACATACAATGCACCAAAGAGGGTTACTGTTCACTTTTCGTCATCATCACGTGCTGCTCACGTGACTTATCTAAATTGGTTCTTCTCGGTGCTCCAGCGTCGTCGTCATGTGCTATAAGCATGTCTTCAGTATTTTTTTTTTTTGCGCGACGCGTGGGCTGTCGGCTCAGGGTTAGCTACACAAAACACATTTCTCTCCTGGCTTTCCTTTCCAAAACCTCCCCGCCGCCCCTTCTTCTCTCCTGCCTTTCCTTTCCAAGATTATAATGCCAAAATTTCCAGTACGCTTAAAGTCTCCTCGCTTTTTGCTTATTTTCTTGTAAGTTTGCAGCTTCTTTACTCTTAGTTTCAACGCCAAAGGAGGAGAGGAAAAAAAATTAGATTAAAAGAAGGAGATGGAGATTTGAGAAGCTGGGCTAGAATCCTCCGAAGTGTGTGGCCAGCATTATTTCCAGCTCAAGGTTTGTGACTTTGGTTTAGGGCTTTTCTTTAATTTTCCTAGATTTATAACATATTTTTGGGACTTTGGTTTAGGGTTTTTCTTTGTTTTCCCAAATTTGTTCTCCTTTGCTGTCCTTCATCCTCCGTTCAAATCAGATTATTTTTTTATATTTTTGTTCCTTATTTTTCTTACCCTTTTCAAATCGAGTGACTTTTTTTTGATGTGGTTGTTCTTCATCTTAAAAAAAAAAATCTACAACATCTCCCTTTGTCCCCTCTGTTTATTTTCCTATATGCGTATCTTCGTTTTTCTTTTTAGAATGCATAGAAGCCCTTTGAATTGGGATGTGCGAAAGTATTAATGCATTACTAAAGGACTTTTGAAAGATTTATTTTTGTGCAAGAAACTGAACAATATGAGGCAAAAAGAAAATTTCGAATATAAAGTGCTTAATTTCTATGATTTATTTATTTTTTCCTGTACTATTTTTTTTTCTTTTTGGTCAATGACATTTTTGGGTTTGGTGGAAGCCTTTGAATATGATGGCGAGGCTTCTCCGAAATGTTTCTTCTCTGGGATGTACTCTGTTTCTGCAACCTCTCTCTCAGGTAATTTCCCCACCAAACCAGAAATACAAGAAAGGTCACTTAAAATAGGGAAGATTTTGTTCTTATTTTCTTTGTATTTTTGGAGAACAATTTGGTTAGGGTTAATGATAGGTAATGGCCCGTTGTAGAAATTTGAAGCATTTTTTTAAAAAAATTTCCAGCCTTTTCTCAAATATGTTTTCCACAGCTTTGTTGAGTTTCAACGTTTTTACACTACCTACCTATGTCTTCTTTGTACTATTTTTTTGAAGTTATAGGTGTAATATAGTGCTTATACTTGTTATTAGCAGTTGGAAGTTGCGAATAAATGATTATACTATAATTTCCTATCAATTAGGAAAGTCAAATGCTTTACTTTGCTAGCTTGCAGAAGTTGGTCCTTTTTTTAAAATTATTGAACTTGCATACTGTATAAAGAAAAAATCTTTTGTTTGATTCGTTTTCTGACATCGTTTTTCAATTAGTATTGCTTTTCTTTTTTTATTTTGTTTCTCACTTTCTTCATGAGTCATGACATGAATTTGTTGTTTGTTGATGCAGACTTATAGGAAAGGCTTGTTAGGGGCATCCACTCAACTCTCCTACTTTTCCTCCAAAAAGTGCCCCCCGAAGTTTATTTTCCTGCTGAACTGGCCTGCATTTGGTCTTCATACCTTCTTTTTTTGGTGATCATTTTGACAGGTTTCAAAAATAGATAAAGTAAAAAACTTTTGCGTATGAAGTCTATCTTTTTAGGCTTTAGCCCCTTGCTAGGACCAGTTAAGACTAATACATATATTTGCTTAGTGTTTGAATGCTTCAGACATCATGTTTATTTAACGTAACAGTTGCAAGTTTTTCCCCATATTTTGGAGTTTTCTGTTCACTAAAAAATTATAAAGCACCCAAGTATGCAAGTTTATTGCCATATTTTGGCCTTGTACCTCTCTCCTGGAGTATTTTAACATTGAGTGCATCATCCTTAATGTAACAATCACTCGACCCTTTTTCCCCCATGTGATTCTTGAATTAGATGAGTTCCTTTAAGAATAGCTCTTTTGCTGAAATTTGTTGAGTTTGATATTTTTTACATTTGGCTGGGATTGTGTTATTCCTGCTTAAGAGTACTTACTTTTTGCTCTTTTTGCAGTAGAAAATATCAAAAATTTTTTTTTGGCTTCATTAGTTCATTATGAACATAAGTCATTTTTTCTATGAAAGGTAGAAGAAAATCCAAGTCAGATGTCAAAGAAAGATTTGGCACTCAAGCAGGCAATGTATCATATCACTGCATCATTTGGAAATGGTTCTATCATGTGGCTTGGCTGCTCTGCCCCTGTCAAACAAGTCCCAGTTGTGTCTACAGGTTTATTTGCTTTGGATATTGCACTTGGGATTGGAGGACTTTCAAAGGTTGGACATCTTATGTGTTTCTTATGCTGCAATGCCAGATATTGATTTTGAAATATTGTTTCAAGTGCAATAAACATCTGTAAATTTCTAAACAATCATATTGACATTGTTTTAGAGTGCAAATATACCACTGAAAGGACTTTTCTCTAACTAATTGGGACTTCAACTAAGAGCTGCTGTAATTATTCTTGATTTGAATATTTCCATTCTGATTAATCAGCATTTGCAATTTCCAGATTGTATATCAAAAGAAAAGCTTCATCTTGTTCTTGAAAACCTTCACTGAAATGGAAGCTTTTAAATTACTTTGTATCACTATTGGTTTCTGTTAGCCTTATTACTTTGTATCACTATTTTATCTGTTTGATGTAATTGGAGTAGTGCATTTTGGCATCGAGCAATATTAGTAGTTCCATGTTCATAGGAGATGTTACCATCCCCAAGCAATTCATTCAGACTGGCTTATGGGATTGGCTCATAACTTCCATTTCTTGCTTTTAACATGAATACATGAAACTTTGTTATACTCTATTTTTGACTTATTTACATGAATCTTTTTTCTAAGCAGAAACTTAATGCGACAATCTCGACAGGTGATTTTACTAAATTGGATTTTGCAGACTACAATGGGCCTTGCAGAGGATATAATCAGTTGGGCAGCATTGGATACAACATTGAGCAGTTCTTTTCAAAGTTAAGAAAGCCTAATACTGCTTAAAGAAAGCTTTGGTTTCACGTAAGCAAGAATTGGCTTTGATTAGCATACACTCATCTTGAGGTATAGGTCTTGATACAGTTCATTCTCTTCTGTGTTTTTCTTTTTCTTTCTCAATTGAAGATTAGAAGTATAGGACTTTTTTATGATCAATTGCATTTGTTCTGTGTTTCCAAAGTCTGAAAAACATTAGCAATTATTAAGTGTCAAATTTTAAGCTTCGATTATTATAGCATAGAAAATTTCCTTATAAAAGCTTTCTATACAAACCTTGGTTTTGCTTTTATAAGTACTGAAATATTCTTTCATGATTTTATAGTTTCTTAATACTTCTTATCATATGCTAAATGAAGAATTGAGCAATCAAACCTTAAATTTAAAATTTTTCAGTCACAAAAGATTTTAAATTTTAGATCTAGAAAACACATTCTTAGATGAGAATATCTCAAGCTTCTCCGGGGATAAAATCAACTATGCAATCTGGCTTACATGTCAATGCCTCTGACTTTTGGAATGGAGTATTGTTTTAACATAATAAAAAGAGTCCTCCCTATGATGAATAAGTTTCCACTTTGTTTTTGCATTTTAGGATCATTCCATTGACTTTGTGTTATGCCCCTTCCCTGCGCCCCCTATAAAAAAAAATAATAATATAGTTGCTATTTCAATGTTTCACTTTACGACAACAGAATGAGTCTAATATTGGGATATTTTGGAGTTAGAACTTGTCCAATTTATTTTTCGGATTAGGATCATTTGTTGCCAGTTACTTATTTCCAATTTCTTCCTTTGGGTGATAATACATGGATGGCCATATTGCAATAGATTGCATTCTGAATTCCTTTAACTTCAATTTTTTGGAAATAGTAGAATATCCAATTTATCTGCTTTTGGTGAAATCACGAATTACCATGCAAATTGCTCTAACTTTACAACTTATAAGATGCTTTAGATCTCTTTTCTTTGATACTTAATAATAGACAAAATATTTATCATGCTCCTCTTAAGAGGGGAAAATGTGGGTTTAGCTTTTGTATGAATATTACAAGTTTTAAAGTTGTCGAGTTTATCTTGTTTGTTTTGGGATCAAGCAATGTCTCCTGACCCATTTCCAGTTTCCATGTATTGGTGCCGAGGTCTATAGCTAACTGCAATGGAATATATACTAAGATTTTATCGTTATAACTTCATGATTAGGTTGTTGCGGGAGAACTTAGCAAATCTTGCCATGGGCGGCAGCAGAAACAAAATTGATTTTGGATAGGGGAAAGATGCATTGTGCGTTTCAAGCTCCATGCTGCATGCTTTCTTATTTATCAATGTAATTAGTTTAGGACAATTCGTTATTGAATTTATTAGACCCTCTTTGTTATAGGTTTCTTTTTGGTTTATCTGTAACTAAATTCCATCAGACAAACAGTTCCATTAAATGGATCTATTTTGAATATGTACAAATTGTTTTATTAAATTGGGCATCTCCATTTTTTTCCCCACCACGCTAATACGCGTTTTATGGCATTAAACTAGGGAACTAGGGTAAGTAGGGTCATGGGATCGACAAGAAATCATGTATCCATAATCCATGGCATCATACATTTCACATCTAATATATTAGTATTTCTGTAAATATCAAATCCTATTGTTATATCTGTAACAGCATTTTCTTTTCTAAAACAAGAGAAATAACTCGGTTACCGGATTATCTTGTTACATTTGTCCCACAATTTTCTGTTGTTAATTGACATGTATAACTTCAATATTAATTTCTATCTAAAATTACTTTTCAGCAATCTCAGCTACTATTTACATAATTTTAATGCTTCTATGGGCATTCACGTTTTGTACTCCACCGTGCGAAGCGCGGTTATCTCGCCTAGTACTTTAAAAGCATCTTCAGAGGGTGGTGCACTCGTAACTTTTACCTTTTCTGTTCATCCCCTTGTGCAAAAAACACAAGATAGAAAAGTAGAAACTACTCTGCAACCAAAGATCATGGAAATATGCTTTTCGAAAGTTGATATAAAGCATAACTCTCGAGTATTTTATGAAAAACATACCAAGTATACGTGGTGCCAAACCAAGGAAGTAACTTATTTAGACTAAGAAGAAAACCATTTCCTTCCAAAGTTGAATAAAACACATACACTGATAGGAAACTAATTATCTTGTCTAATCTGTCAATTATTGCTTCCTGGCAGGGAAATGGAGTTGGTGCAGTTGGGTTCCATGTAATTTGACCGAGTGTTACTCGTAAAAAAAGTGATGTACATGAATAAAATAGTTAGTATATATTCAATATAATACTATAATATAGTTATATATCACAAATTTAAATGTACACAACTGCACTGAATTGCACATATCACAAAAGTGTGCAATGTTTGGATTGCAATTTTCCTCAGAAAAATTGTTAAATTTTTCGTGAGTACATTTCTCTATCACCTTTACCTTACATATATCAAATTACTATAGTAATTTTTCTACAAAAAATTCAGAAAAATGCAATCCAAAGGCTTGGTGGCGTGGGAGGTCAAGGATTCAAACCTTGCCTCCCACTATCTGCCACTAAAAATGTGGCTTGCCACTTTAAGTGGTTTTATGCTGCGTCGCTGTCGATGGTATTTCAGTTTCTATTAATTTCTTTTTAGACCTCTTCAAATCCTCCCTTCCATAATATAGAATAGATGTAGGTCTATCATGTCCCAAAAAAAAAAGAATTGCACATATCACACGAGCACCGAGTCCAACCCCTGTAACCAGGACTTTCTGTGTGCGCGGGTGTGACGCTCTACATAATTTTCTTGTTGACTTTTAAAACTAGGGTGCCTTACATTTACACTTAAAAAGAATAGTGCCTTTACTTCCTTTTTGTCTGTTCTTTTGTTATCCTTTGGGTTTTGACGTGTTTATAAGCACTTGGGATTTTCGGTGACATATTTTCTATGCCAATCCAATGCCACCTCTAATATGTCGCCAAGTGTCCTGTTATTATTTGCACTTTAATTTTTTAATAATTCAAATTGGTTTGGTTTAACACAAATTTTCTCTACCCTCTAAAACTTTGAACCAAAATTAACCGACCGGTCTAATTCAAATACCATAACCACTCACGATCTGTTGCATTGGGGAAAAAGAAAAAGAAAACCTAAACAAAATTGCCTCCAAACTCTTTCATCGGTGATTGCTTTGAACAAAGCCAAAAAGAGACAATCGGCAGTAGAGACAAGGAATAACATAATAAATATGAGCAGGTATTGATTATTTACATGGATACAAGGTGAATAAACCTGCCCTTGTTCACCAAAACATTTCTGCTGCGAGTGTGCTGATTGATCAACGAAACAGACCTTTGCTTTCTGATTCGGGTCTCCACAAATTACTTACTAATGATACTGTCTTCTCAGCACTCAAGGATAGCGCTGCGATGGGATATTTGGCTCCTGAGTACAGTCCTACTGGCCGGTTTACAGAGAAAAGTGATATTTATGCATTTGGGGTACTTTTGTTTCAAATCCTTTCTGGGTTCGAAAAGTAACCAGCACAATGCAAGCTACTGCTGACTTAGGAAAAACTCAGGACTTCATGGATAGAAATCTCCATGGAAAGTTCTCTGAACCTGAAGCCATCAGCCCAGATTCTGTGCATAATTGGACTTCTTTGTTTCCAAATATTTATTATGTTATTCCTTGTCTCCACTGCCGATTGTCTCTTTTTGGCTTTGTTCAAAGCAATCACCGATGAAAGAGTTTGGAGGCAATTTTGTTTAGGTTTTCTTTTTCTTTTTCCTCAATGCAATAGATCGTGAGTGGTTATGGTATTTGAATTAGACCTGTCGATTAATTTTGGTTCAAAGTTTTAGAGGGTAGAGAAAATTTGTGTTAAATTAAACCAATTTGAATTATTAAAAAATTAAAGTGCAAATAATAACAGGACACTTGACGACATATTAGAGGTGGCATTGGATTGGCATAGAAAATATGTCACCGAGGATCCCAAGTGGTTTATAAGCGTCTAGTTAACATGGTTTCCTTTAAGTTTATATCATATATTAGCTGCCAACTGCGTGGAGAATATCCAGCTGCTTAGATTTAGAACAGATGATGGTTGAAGACGTCATAACCTGATAGAGCATCAGCTGGAGGTATTCTCTAGGCATATTTTTTTTTCCAGAAAATATTAAGAATATTAAGAATGTAACTTTGCAAATCAGTTAATCCAAAAAAGTATCTATCTATTCACAGAGTCATTAATATTGTCAAGTTCTTTTCTGCAGTTGCTAATCTTGGTTTTATTAAACTGACAGCCACTAACTAGTTTCAAAGCTGACAATAATACTATAACCTACATTATTTTGGTTGTCTGAGATTAACTTCTTGTAGCAATGGGCTCATAGCTTTTGCTGGACGGTTCAGAATTTCTGATGTTAACCTCTTACCTCTCTTGTTTGTTTGTCTCGAATCCCAGTCCTCGAAGGTAGCTTTGTAACTTCCTGCAGGATTATCAGTTGGAGAAATCCACTAAGAAGTAAAAGAATCAGGAATCTAAAGTGAACCTCATTTGGCATCAATCAAGTACCTATCTTGAATGTATCCAAAAGAAGTACCTATATTGAAAGTACGTACTTCTTACATATACTTTTTGCTGACCAACTCTGACTACGCTTAGCATAACCGCTTTCTTCGAATGTCCTTTATATTTTGCCAAATGAATTATTTCATTCTTTACCTTAAAATATTAATTTTACGTCCCTTATAAATTCAAATTAACAATATAAATGTCCCTTATATTTTGCCAAAAAAATTATTTCATCCTTCACCTTTAAAATGTTAACTTTATATCCTTTATAAATTCAAATTAGCAACATTTGGTCCCAACCTATATTTCCGACCATCTTTTAGTTTAAAATTACTATGTGACCCATATGCAATCATTTTTATATGTATCAAAAGATAAGATTGTACTTTTTTAGTAACAAAAATGAATATGCATTAGTTAGATCCCACATTTTTAGGAAAAAATGAATATAGTTTAATCAGATCATACTTTTTAAAAGGCAAGAATAAATATGGATCGGGTCATTTATTTAATTACAAATGAAATCTAATATTTTTGCCCCAAAAATGACTATGTGTGGATCACGTGAAGGATGCAAGATAAAAAGCGGTCAAAAACTAGGTTTGGATCAATTTCACCTACTTGATTTTATAAAGAATATCAAAGTTACTATATTAAAAACGAAGGACAAAAAAATTTATTTGGCAAATGTGAGTAACGTTTTGAGCGTTTTTTTCATTTATCAATTTGATTGTTTCTAAAAGATAACAAAAGGAAAACGTAGCCAATAAGAATTGCAGAAAGAAACAATAAGCATAGAATCTAGCCATTACCACTTTTTTAACATTTTGAATCCGTCACGCTTTAATTTGCTTTTTTCCCCCTTGACCAAAAAAATTACAATGATAGAAACAGACCATGTTGGATTCCATGAGCGTTCACCCTATCTTGAGTATAAGCTTACCCCCGTTCCTTTACCTGAGACTTCGGAAAACGTCAACTTTTCATTGTTGCTGTCTTTACTTTTAAAAGCTATACATCTATTAAGTAAATCTAGAAATGAAATATACAACTTGGTTTGATGCTTGAAGCATAATTAACTACTCTATAACCAAGATCATTAGCCATTTGGTTATCAAAAGAAAAAAAAAACATAGCTAAGCACCATATTTCCTCCAAAACAGTTGCTAATCATCAATGGTCAGTGTACAATATCATTGAGGTCATTTGAGGTCGCTCGTATCCAAGGCAAAAGGGTGTGTTTTCCTAAGCTCATTGAATCAAACGCACATGCACCAGCCTGCATATTCACATAAAACCAACGTTATTAAATGAAGGTGTTCAGCTTTCTGTGTTGTATTAAAAAATGATGGATAAACCAAATGTCAGAAGTGGATGAAGTAAACTACTGCTGCTGTTGCATTGTCAGTTGCCTGTGCACGGGCAATTACTGCAACTATGACTGCAGCAAGGTGCATTAAAGTTCGCCATTGTAGTATTAATTTGAGGTGCAACAGGGAGGTCAAATCCTTTGATCCGGATTTGATGTCTATCCAGATCATTAATCAAACCATCAGATTGGATCTGATCAGACTTTGAAAATCCAAAAACGTCTGGAGACGAAGATTCAGTTGATCTCTTTCCCTCATCTGTTCCTAGAATGGTCGAATCCTTGATTACCCACCCCTTTGACCTTTTAAATTCATTAGAGCTTGGACCAAATTAACAAATTGTATGTTTCATTTTTGTGACGAACGCAAACATATTTTTCTCTTTAGGGATTTAGAGATTGTAGATTTGGATCTCATTGTGAGTTATTTTGCTGCCACTATTTGTAGATCAGACGAATTACTTGGAAAATGTTCTAAATTAAAA